TTTGAAAAGGGTCCGAGATTGACAAAATGACATGATTTCTTATTTTTTGGGAATTTATTTGATAATTTATGGTATTTTCAGCATGTCAATACTCAGAATTTCCCGAATTCCTTCAGATTTTGATAAAATTTGAAGCTTGCATATAATATTTTCTTTTATCATTTAAGCTTCTAAATAGGATTAAAACGTATTCTGAATGTGTGCTCCAAAAATACTACCATTTAGACCCACTTACATTGTTTTTAGGGGTAATTTTAAAAATTATATTACTCGGTCTAAACTTGGTCAAAAAAAGTTTAAACTTTCGACAAACCTTTAAATTACTCCAAGATGCACAAAAATACAACTTTTCTGATTTTTCTAAAATTTAATTGATATTTTTATGGTATTTTCATTTTGTGATTACTCTAAATTTTTCTAATTTTTTAATTTCTTCAAATTTTCAAACTTTCATGCAATATTTATTAACCTTTTAGCTTCTAAATAAGTTTTTCAATTATTATAAATTTTGGGTCCAAAAACATCATGGTCTAAATCCACTTACACTATTTTTGGTGCAATTCAGTGTAACTCAATCTAAACAAATCATGATTTTTAGGAAACCTTTAAATTGCTCCGAGATGGATAAAAATATAACTATTTATTTTAAAAATTTAAATGATAATTATATTTTTGTTTTTTCAGCATGTGAATACTTTGGATTATTTCAATTTCTTCTAATTTTATCAAAATTTGATGAAATGGTGCAATATTTGGAGTGCAAAATTTGTCAAAATTTAAAATATGTTCTAAAAGTTTGATTAAAAAATTATTATGATGTAGACCTACTTATATGGAGGGCAATTCAAGAACTACATAACTAGGTGAAAACAAACCTTTGGTTTGACCAAGTTTGAAGTCTCAATGTATTTCTTTCTAATATTGGAGCTTCTAAATAGACTTAAAATCTATTCTGAATATTTGGTTCAAAAATAACAGCATTTAAATCCTCTTCTATGATTTTTGGATAATTCAAAAATAGTGATCAAAACAAATTGTGACCTTTGTGAAACATTTAAATTGCTCCCAGATGGATAATATATATATATATATATATATATATATATATATATATATATATATATATATATATATAACTTTTCTATTTTTAAAAATTAATATGATATTTTTTGGTATTTTTAAATTATGAATACTCTTAATTTCTTTAAATTCTTCAAATTTGATCAAAATATCATATTTTCGTATAATATTTTTTAACATTTAAGCTTCTAAATACATTTGACACCTATTCTAAATATATTTAATACTTGTACTATTCTAAAGGCATTTCAAAAAGAATGTAACTAAGTCTAAAAATGATCAAAACAAGCTAAAACTTTCAGGATACCTTTGAATTGCTCCAAGATGGACACAAATATAATTATTTCTATTTTAAAATTTATTCGATATTTTTATATATTTTGAAGAATATATTAAAATTTTGAATTTCTTCAAATTTTGATACTTCCATGAAATGTTTTTTAACATTTGAGCTTCTAAGTAGGTTTGAAACTATCCTAAAATTTTTGATCCAAAAGCACCATCGCTTAGACCCACATACAATATTTTTGGGGCAATTCAAAAAAAGTTTAAAATAAATAACTTTTCTATTTTTAAAAATTTAAATAATATTTTTTAGAATTTTTCAACGTGTGAATACTCTGAATTTTATCAAAATATGATGAAATTATGCATTGTTTAGTAGATCTGAAACCTATTTTAAAAGTCTGGTTCACTTATATTATTTTTGGATAATTAAAAAAAATTAAAATTGGGTCTAAACCTAGTCAAAACAAGTTGGAACTTTCAGGAAATGTTTTTTAAAAATTGCTCCTGGATGTATTAAACTAACTAACTTTTTTCTAATTTTAAATATTTATATGATTACATTTTGGTATTTTCAGATTGCGAATACTCTGATTTTTTTAATTTCTTTAATTTTTAGCAAAATTTGATTCTTCTATGTAATGTTATTTAACATTTGAGCTTTAAATAGGTTTGAAACCTATTCTGAAAATTTGGCACAAAAACAACATCACTTAAAACCACTTATATTATTTTTGGGGGATAATTTAATAATAGTGCAAATAAATCTTAACATAGTCCAAACAAGTTGAAACTTTCGTAAAACTTTTGAATTGCTCCCAGATGGACACAAATATAATTCTTTTCCTATTTTAAGAATTTATTTGTCATTTTTATGACATTTTCTTCAAATTTAATAAAAAATTGATGCTTTCATATAATTTTTTTAATATTTGAGCTTCTAAATAGGTTTGACATCTATCCTGAGTTTGATCTCAGAATGCCATGATCTAGACACACTTACACTTTACACTATTTTTGGAGTAATTCAAAAAGTAGTGTAGTTGGTTCTAAACCAGATCAAAATAAGTTAAAACATTTAGCAAACCTTTGAATTGCTCCAAGATGAACAAAAATATATATTTTTTTACTTTTAGGAACTTTGTTTAGCTTAGTAAATGTCTTAAAATTTGTAGTTAGCACATAATTGAGATTAGAATTGGGCCAACCCAATTAGGGGATAGTTGGGCCTAAGTTTAGGCTGTGTTGGGCCAAGAGAAAGGCTCAAACAGTGATCAAACAAGTGAAACCGTCGTGGCACAGTCTCCGAGACTATGTCAGGCGGTGGTACCGCCCATGTCAGGCGGTGGTATCGCCTAGTGCAAGCGGTGGTGCCGCCAAATTTCGGGGATTTGAATTTTGGCTCCATTTTTTAAGTCATTTGGGGTCTATAAATACCCTAGCTATTCCTATATTGAGAAGCAAGAAAAGTGAACAAAAAATCTATGTTTCTAGAGTTGAAAACCCTTGTAAAAGTATAGAGTCCCTCCTTCTAAAGTTTAGAGACCATTCTAAGGGAGAGTGTGAGGGAGGTTTTGTAAAAATGGGGTGTAAAGGTTCCCTCCTAAGCCTGCAAAAGGAGAATAGAGTTGTTAGAAGGAGGTTGATCTTCGCCTATTAAAGGAAGATCGTTAGTGGATGCCGGTGGCCTTGACGGAAGAGTAATCGGTAGAGTGGATATAGGTCATTACGACTGAACTACTATAACTCAGTTTGTATTTACTTCTTGCAATTTACATTTATTGCAAACTGTCCTTCTTTACTTGCTTTACATTCACTACACTGTTCCGTATGTTTTCAAGTTAACATCTTCCGAAATAGATTTAATCGCAACGAGATTTTCAAACCGATGTAATTTTTATCGCTGCACTAATTCACTCCTTTAGTGCCGACTCATTCCTAACACACACTATTTTTTGTGACAATTCATAAACAACATAATTTGGTCTAAATCTGATTAGAACTAAGTTAAAACTTTTAGGAAAAATCTTGTAATTACTCCTAAGATGAACAAAAATATGACTTTTTTTATTTTTGAGAATTTATTTAATAATTTGATAATATTTTTAGGATGTGAATATTTTGATTTTTTTTCTAATTTCTGTAATTTCTTTAAATTTTGAAAAACTTTGAAGCTTGTAAATAGGTCTAAAACCTATTCTAAAATTTTGGTCCAAAAATAACAATATTTAGACCCTTTTACACTATTTTTAAGGGCAATTCAAAAATAGTATAACAGGGTCTAAACCTACTCAAAATAAGTTAAAATTTTCAGGTAACATTTGAATTGCTTCCATATGGATAGAAAAATATATATTTTTTTATTTTTAAGAGTTTATTTAATGTTTTATGATATTTTCAACATGTGAATATATTGAATTTTTTTAATTCCTTCAATTTATTATAAATAGGTTTGGAACCTAGTGATAAATTTTGATCCATAAAACACTAAGGCTTACACCCACTTACAGTATTTTCAGGGTAATTCACAAATAATATAATTGGGTCTAAACCTGATGAAAACAAGTTGAAACTTTCAAGAAACCTTGGAATTTCTCCTACATAGGCAAAACTTTAACTTTTCCTACTTTTATAATTTATTTAAATTTTAATAAAATTGAAGCTTCCATGTAATGTTTTGTAACATTTAAGCTTCTGAATAGATTTAAAACTTATTCTGAAAGTTTGGTTCAAAAACACCATGGCCTATACTCACATTGTTTTTGGGGCAATTCAAAAATTATATAATTGAGTCTAAGTCTAATCAAAACAAGTTGGAACCTTCAGGAAACATTTGAATTGCTCCCAAATGGACAAAAATTAATTTATTCTATTTTATAAATTTAAATGATAATTTACTAGTATTTTTATATTATGAATACTATAAAATTTTCTAATTCTTCAAATTTTGATTATTTCGTGCAATGTTTTCTATTTTGAAATATTTATCCAAAAACAACATGGCTTAGACCCATTTACACTATTTTTGGAGGTAATTAAAAAATAATATAATTAAGTTTAAACCTGGTCTAAATTTCATCTTAAACCTTTGGAAAACAAACAATTACAATACATTACACTATTAAGTTTGATAAGAACTTTCATCTTAAAACCACTTTTGTATTTATATATTATAATTCCATCAAAGTTGCTAGAATTATTTTTTCACTAAGTTGCTTCAAAATTATATTGGACAACAAAAAATACAAACTACTTATCATTGGTCACAACTATTGTGATAGATGGTTATATTCGAATTGTTGACATCATGTGCACAAATTTTTTTTTTTTTTTTTTTTTTTTTGTTACTATAGGTTGATTGGATCCTTCCTTCCTTTCTTTTTCTCGACTTGCACCATACTTTTTAGAGGTATTAAGATGCAATCATCTTCTCATCGAATTCAATATTGTTTACTCTAAATAGAAAATATCTTATCATTGTAAGTCTTCTTGTACGTATCAGCTATATAATATTCTTAATAAAAAGAATACGGATTAGCAATTTTAATACCCAATAGCAGTCATCTCATGAGAGCTTGGAATTTTCAGTATATCGAAATGGCAACATAAACAACATTTCTCTAAATCTACTAAAACTATCTGAGGAGATATCGAAATGGCAACATGCCAATCTTCGAGAGCCCGAAATCTGAAACTTTTGCAACCCTTTTGTCATCTAACAGTATGTTTGTTGCCTTCACATCTCGAGGTATGATGGTATGCTTCGCACCGGTGTGAAGGTAATGCAGACCAAGTGCAGCCCCGATGCAGATCTCAAGCCGCTGTTTCCATGGAAGAGGCGGCTTCTGTGTCTTGCAAAGATGCTCGCGGAGGGTCCCCTGGGCCATGGAATCGTAGACTAGGATCATCTCACAGTTCTCCTCGCGGTAACAGATCAAAGAGACAAGGTGGTGGTGTCGGAGCATGGAAAGCATCTCAATCTCGGTCTGGAATTGATGGACACCTTGCTCGGACATCGGGTTAGCAGCTTGATGGCTACCTTTGTGATCCCACCATCTATCTCCCCACGGTAGACCTTTCCGAACCCACCAACTCCAAGAAG